TTGCCGGGTACTTTTCTTCTGCTCCCCGAAGTACTTGGCTAGTATAATATATTGGTTTTTGAATACCGTTTTCTTCCCTAACCAATGCTGAGCTTACCGCTGGCGGGGAAACTGCTAGGTAAAGGTATAAACTTTCTCCAGAAATTGCTCGAGACAATAATGGTGGTAAGCTGAGATAGTTTTTGAGCCCAATGAATGCTTGCTCGCACTCCGGGGTCCACTCGAAGGCTTTCTTTAATATCTTAAAGAAAAGAAGGCACTTGTCAGTGGCTTGAGAGATTAACCTGTTCAAAGCTGCGACCTTTCCTGCTAGCCTCTGAACCTCTTTGGTTGATTTAGGTGATCTCATATCTAGTATAGCCTGAATCTTTTCAGGGTTTGCTTCAATTCCCCTTTGGCTTACCATATACCCCAAAATTTTTCCCGAGGATACTCCAAAGGCGCACTTACTTGGATTCAAGTGCATATTATGGGCGCTGAGCACATCAAAAGACTTTTGTAAATCAGCTAAGTGGTCTCTGGCCTTCAGGCTCTTTACCAACATGTCATCTACATACACTTCCATGTTTCTCCCTATCTGTTGCTTGAACATTGTGTTGACTAACCTCTGATAGGTGGCGCCAACATTTTTCAACCCGAATGGCATCACCTTATAGCAATATAGACCTCTGTCAGTAATAAAAGAAGTTTTTTCACTGTCATGAGCATACACAGGGATCTGGTTGTATCCGGAGTAAGCATCCATAAAGCTCAGTAACTCATGTCCTGTTATTCCTTCAACCAACATATCGATCCTTGGCAAAGGAAACCTATCCTTTGGGCAAGCCTTATTTAGATCAGTGAAATCAACACAAAGCTTCCACTTGCCATTTGCCTTCTTGACCAGGACCACATTTTACAGCCAATGGGGGTACTGTACCTCCCGGATAAAGTCAGTCTTCAGGAGCTTCTCGACCTCCTCGGATATAGCGAGGTTCCTCTCTGGCACAAACACTCGCATTTTCTGTCTGACTGGTTTAAAAGATGGATCCACATTGAGTCAATGCTGCACAATGGAGGGGTCGATGCCAGGCATGTCGTCATGTGCCCATGTAAACACATCTTTGTTATCTCTGAGTAGTTAAACGAGTGAATCTCGGATGAATGGGTTGAGTAGTAACCCTATACTCACCTTTTTTCCAGCTCTTTCTTTATCAGAATCAATCTCTACGAGGTCCTCCACTGGTTCCGCCCTTTGAGTGGGTTCCTTCTCAGTTAACCCTTATGGTTTCTCAATAGCCAATGTTTCCTGTAACTTTTTTGTTCTTAAAGCGGTGGTGTAACACTCCTTTGTTGTTGCTTGGTCACTTTTTAACTCACCAATGCCTTACTCTGTAGGGAACCGCATCAATAGGTGGTATGTGGAAGTGACGGCTCTCATTGCATTCAAAGTTGTTCTCCCTAGGATTATATTATACATAAATGGACAGTCCACCACCAGAAAATCTACCATCACGGGAACTTGTTTCGGACTGGTCTCGGCTATCAACGGAAGTGTGACTACACCTAAAGGGAAAACCTTTTCTCCAGAAAAACCAACAAGGGGGGACTTCGTTGGCCTTAACATTTCCTTACCAATACACATCTTGTCAAATACATCAATAAATAACAAGTCGGCAGAACTACCATTGTCAATTAGTACACGGTGGATTGCGTAGTTGGCCACGACCATTGTCACTACCAAAGGATCGTCATATGGCTGTTAGATTCCCTTAGCATCTTCTTCCGAAAAGATAATGTCATGGCCCTCCACTCTAGGAGACTTCGCTTGGGGTTCATGAATTTCAACTTCATTGACTCCTGCTGAGCTCTGGACTCTCCTGACATGGGCTTTTCGTGCTGAGCTTGATTCTCCCCCATATGCAAATCCTCCCATAATCACTTTTATTTCTCCCAATGGGTGACCAGGAGGGTTGTTCTCTCTGTTCACACGGGCAGGTTGAGTTGCACTTTTTTCAAGGCCTGTAGCATATCTGTGCAACTGCCCCTGTCGAATTAAGCTTTCTATCTAGTTCTTCAAGTCGAAGCAGTCATCGGTATTGTGCCCATGGTCTCTATAAAACCGGCAATACTTGTTCCTAGATCTCCTTGTTGGATTTGACTTTAACTTGGGGGGTCATTTCAAGAAGTGGTCATCCTGGATCTGTAGGAGGATTTGGCTGATCGAGGTGTTCAAGGGAGTGAAGTTAGTGTAGCTATCTTGCCCCTTGGGTATTCTAGGGGGCTTATCATTGGTAGGCTTTCTGAACTTGGTGTCTCTTTCGTCTTTGGAACTAGCAGCTGGCCTTTTTTTGTCTTATTTCTTGTCGTCGACTCCTTTGCCTTTTCTTGAATTCATGGCATCTTCAGCATTCATATGTTTCTGGGCCTTTATTAATAATTCTGCCATGCTGTTTGGTGGGTCTTTTGACAAGGAAAATAGAAACTTAGAAGATTGTAACCCTCCCATAAAGGCTGTAAGGGCAACATAATCGCGCAATGACTCCCCTTTGTCTTGCTTAACATTCAACAGATAAGTAGCTGGCTTTCAATGTCTCCTCCCTGTAATAAAATGCCTTATGAACTGCTTACTGAGTTCATCAAAGTCGTTGATAGATCATGGCTTCAATTTATTAAACCAAACCCGGGCTGACCCTTTGAGTGTTGTAGGGAAAGCCCTGCACATGATCTCATCCGGAATGGCTTGCAAGTTCATGAGGGACTTAAAAGTTTCTAAGTTGTCGAGGGGATTACGCGTTTTGTCAAAACTATCAAGATGAGGCATCTTGAATTTTGTTGGCAATAGGAGGGCTATGATCTGAGGACTAAAAGGTAGATTCGTCTTTTGAACAAGGTCATCAACTGCGGCGGGACCTTTTCCTTTTAAGGCTTGGGCCATTCTTTCCACTTTCGATTTGAGATCCTGGATCTGTTGATCGACGTAAATTACTTCAGTGCATTCTCCGGTATCAGACATATCCCGGGAATGAGGCGTGGAAGTGCGCAAGTCTCTCTGTCGACCTCCCGCTTGACTGTAGTCAACTCTATCGCTGTCATCGTTACCTTCAAACAGCACTGCAGGGATAGCTAAGTGATGCATGATTGCCGTATTTTGTTGGACCAATTGATTCATACCTTGAGTAAGGTTCTGAACCTGTTGCTCCAACGTGACAATCTTCCCATCATTTAGAACACGTCTGGAGGCGTTCCCTTGACGGGATGCATGCTCAGATGGATCTTCTCTCGCACGAAGCTGACTAGCGCGAGGTTTGTCATTCCTGTGATGAGGCTGATTGTCATCATGATGTGATTGATGAACATCGTTGTGACGCGACTGGTTCTCATCGTTATGTGGTTGACAGCTACCGTTATCTCCATGCCGTGATTGATTTGCACTTTGATGCTATTGATGGTGGCTGCCATCACCATGCTGTGATTGATTTGTGCCTTGACGCTGTTGATGGTGGCTGCCATCACCATGTTGTGATTGACATCCGCCGTCAAGGCGCGAAGGGTGCTGGCTTCCTTCTCCAAGTTAGACTCCAGATCGCAACTGAACCATTGTTTTTCCAGGAAACTAATATCGCTTCCCACAGATGACGCCAGCTGATGATGCAAGATTTTGTCATGACCCAGAACGACATCGTAACTTGCAAAGAAGAGAAAAAGTCGTCAAAAGGCACCGGTATAGTACCGGCCTAAGAGTCTACGACGGTCAAGTTAGTACAAGACCAGTAAGTTTAATGGACTCTCTTAAGGATATTTTTTTTTTGCGTACATTTTGAATTGGCTGACTACCCTTTTTATAGGATAGGTTTCAATATCTGATAAGGGAATTAATCTCCTTATCATAGTGTAATACGGATCTGAAGAACTCATTCTTATCTATATTGCTTCGTAATTGTAGCTTATCTGACTTATCTGACTTCTTGGCTTCCGTGTCTTTAAAACTCGTGTATTCCTGTTGGATTGTAGAGACTGTATCATATCAATCTCCATCCATTCATTGGTTCAAAATAAAATTCAGATTTTTTCGGACTTGCCAGGACCTCTTGTCACAAAATGAAAACTATAGGTCTCCATCTATCAACAAATATCTATAATTTTGAAACACCTTGCAACAGTTTGTTCCTGTTTTATATGATCGACATAACTTTACATTGAAACGATATTTTTGTTATCGAAAATTGGAACTTGGTTTTTTTGGTTTATGGATAGAGACTAATCTATTTACTTTAAAGATCATTTCTGAAAATTTTCTCGTTTCTCTCTCTCTCCATGTTCAACACCCAAATTGGATCCATTCAAACTCTAGTTATAGATGGAAAAAGTCTATGCAGAAAAGAAAGCTTCAAATTCGGATAAGAACCTATATTTTCATGATCTCGTCTTTGGCAAATTTACTTGAAGATTTTAGTGAAATTTCATTTCTTCACATAAAAAATAAAAAATAAAATAGTCGAACACTATCCAAAATAGCTTTGAAATCCAAAAATTCAAAGCTAAAAACACTTTTTATTTCAAAATTCTTTTCTAGATGTGTTTGGTAATTGAGCTTTTCAGCAAAACAAAAAAAAAATGGAAATTTTTGTGAACTTTATAGAAAATAATTGGGCGTGCATGTAACCTATAAAAGTAATTAAAGAAAATAATACATGGGATATTTAGTAAAATAAATTATATGGTCACATTAATAAATTGGATATAATTTGACATGGTAATTAATCTAAACCAAGAAGTAGTAACAAAATAAATTCTGAGATGGCCAACATAATGACAGATGGATAAAATTGATTAAGAAGAGAGGAAACAAAATTTAAATGGGAGAGAATGAATAAATAAATAAATAAACAAAGTAGCAGATTGCGGATGTCAAAAAAAAACATTATTTGAATTTGCTTTTGTGAATGCAATATAATAATAATAATAATAAAATAAAGAACTGAATATTCTTCCGATCTTTTATGCAAGCAATAGCCTCCTTATCTCTTCTTCCCTTTGGTAGTATCAGCTTTTGTCTGCACATTCGACAACAATAAGCATTGATTTAGATGCCTATTGCATGGAAAGGAATGTAAAAATATATTAAAATAATAGTGGCTCCAAAAATGGAACTTAAGGAGCAAAAACAATACAGAAGACCTCGTTATTATTGGTCAGTACCCTAAAACCCTAATGATAGGTTGGAACTATTAAATTGGTATTTTGAATTTAAAATCGAAAGAAATTTAGTTGAATTTGTAAATTATATTTTTTACTTGATTAGAGGAATTGAGTAATAACAAAAATTTCACCGAATAAATAAAATGTAAACTAAATTTTCTCTAATTCTATATTCAAAGTGTTGATTTGTATTCCCGATATAAGAAAAAATGAATTATATTATTACCTTCTTTACACCACGAATTTTCTTGGCCCTGTTCTTCCTCTCCTTCAACTGCTTCCTTGACTTCTCTACCTTGGTGGCCAGGCCATTCTACAAAAGATATGAAAACATATTTTTTGGATCATAGTTGATGAAAAGCAACAATTTAAATATTCCATATAAACACATGCAATAATAATAATTATTATTATTATTTTTTTTTTTTTAAAAAGAGCATGAAAAACCAGACAAAAATAATAAATCATACAATTCTACAATTATTAATAGCAACTGAAGTCATTTTGAGTATTAAAAAAAATTATAATATTATGGAACAATTATATTCCTGTCAATTATGTAATAGTATATATATCGGAAAGTTAAGCAAAATTATATTCATGTCAATGAATTAAAAGCAAACAAATCATACACACACATACACATATGTGATATGTGAAAAAAAAAAAAAAAAAATGAGAAAGCAGGTAAATAAGCTGGAAAGATGAGAAATATACCCTGATAAGCTTGTATTTTGGTTCGAATTTCTTAGCATTCTCAACAGAATCATAGATCAAACCAAAACCAGTAGATTTGCCCCCTCCAAAATGGGTTCGAAACTTGAACACAAATATGGAATTTGAATCTTTAGCATCATACATCCTCGCCAATTTCTCCTTCAACTCAGCCTTCAATAACAAACCAAACCCCACAACCCATTATATATATATATATATATATATATATATATATATATATATATATGAAAACATTAAAATGTAATCACTATGTTAACTCAAAAGAAGTAAAATTAAATATCCATGAAATAACAAGAAGTTGACATGAGGTAATATATGACAATGGTTGGAGCCTCATGCATTGTGCTAGTAGTCTTTTTAGGTAATCTTTAGTAAGCTAGATAAACACATGCCCTAACTAGAGGTTTACATACATGTGTGTGTGTATATATAATATGCACTTTTTTGAAAAATCAATAACAAAAGAAATCCACTTCAACGACTACGTGACTATGACTAGATAATAATATACCAACCAAAACAATGACGTTTTTAGCTAATGATATGAAGGAAAAAAAAAAAAAAAAACAAACCTTGGAAACATTTGGTCTTCCTGGATGGAGAACGTCAATGACCTGAAACAAATGAAAACATAGAAATGCGAGTGACATGAGATCTATATATATATCTATGCACACACACACACACATATATACATAATAAGTAGAAGTGTAATGAATGAAAACTGACGAATTGCTTCCTGGACAGAAGCCGATTAGTCATGAATTTCCTCGTACGGATTGTGATCGCCTTATCCCCCATTTTCCTGGAAAACAATTCTCCGTCATGTTCAAGAAATTATGTATATATATATATGAACACGTATACATTTACACACACATATATATAAACAGAGAGAGAGTGAAAATAGTTTGTTTCTTCACCTGCAACCTTTGATCTCCTCTTGGGGAGGCTGTGGATTGTGTATTGAATTAAAAGTAGAGTGGCTTTAATTAATGGTAGGGTTTAGAGCTTAGTGGGGTGTTGTGATGGGACGAGTCTACAAACCAATCTCCTAAAATTATGGAAATAGATAAAGACCTCTTCAAATATGTACTCAAAAAAAGGAGGTAAGTTATAGGGCTTTATAGAGTCCTATATATACATAAACTTCTCTTTCAAAAATACTAGTTTGGTTGAGTCTATCATTATGTAACCCAATCAGAAAATTATTCGAGACTTCAAGTGGGAGCTTCTAAACAATAAATTAAAAGTAAAAGTAAAAATAAAAGTAAAAGTAAAAAGTAAAAAAAAATTCAAACTACTTATAAGGATGCCTTTACCCAAAATTCAATAGGTGCATTATTAGAATTTTACTAAAATTTTAGGTATTTAATATAAATAAATAAAGTAGTGGGGGCAGTGTCGGCAGACACCCACACTCGGCCTCACGTTGCTCTGTCCTTCGAACACCCGTGAATTGATATTTTTTATTTTTATTTTACAGTACTTTTTTATTTGGTTATACATGTTTATATAAGCATTAGTGTGAATATAAACAGTCATATTCGATATCCTAACAGGTATAAAAATGTTAATATGTACCAAACACTCACACACACACACATATATATATTATATGTATTGGTAATTTGGTATGTATATACCAAACAGTTGTTCGGTCCAAAAATTCAAAAGTTACTCTTGACAAGCTAATCCAAATATACACTTTTAGTGGTATATAATTAAGGGTTAAGTGCAAAAAACCCCTCATAATATACAAAATGTGCAATCAACTCCTGTTATTCGCAAAGGTCCCATACATTATACAATTTGTGCAAATAAGGACATTAGGTCAATTTGGACATTGAAATGTCTAAAATACCCAAATAACAAAATTAAAAAATATATAATAATAAAAATTAAAATGCCGTCTCTCCTTTTTTTTTTTTTTAACTCTTTTCAACGACTTCCATATTTGTCTGTCTCTCTATCTTTTCTTTTACAGCAACTTCCATATATATATATATCATGAATTCACACAAATAAGCTAACTGAAGCAAATTGAGATGATGCCAAAGCCAACACAATATTATCTTATTGTAAAGGTATGTATGTATATAGACTCAGGATATATTGAAAATACATATCTTGATGGAATATTAATAATCTATATATTTCAAGTTACATAAAATAAACACATTCATTGTTCGTACTCTTCATGTCTTTACCAATTAAATATTTTGTGGTGTTAGTTTCATATTATATATATATATATATATATATATATATATATATATATATATATATATTCTCACCGAAAAATCACTATTTTGATAAATAAATAAAAAAAATTATTTGAAAAACAATATAAATTTTCAAAATTTCAAATTATTGGAATATCAAAGTAGTGATTTTTTTACAAGAGTTAATTGGTTGTTGCAGTGGTGATATTCTTTGTTGTAGGGAGTGAAAGAGACTTACCGAAAATATGTATATATATAGAGAGAGAGAGAGAAAGAGAGATTTTTTTTATTATTATATTAACAAGGGTATTTTGGGATTTTTATAAAAGAATTGGTCAAAATTGATGATTAGGGAGTAATTTGCTCAAAAGGTTGATAATATAGGGATTAACTTTTAATGAGGGTGTTTCTTGCACATTTTTTGTATAGCAAGGGATTTTTTGCACTTAATCCTATAATTAAAACTATTTATGTAATGTTAAAAAAAAGAAAAGAAAACTCTTTATGTATAAAAATAAATAAATAAATAATCAAGGCCATCAGCTTTGACGTTAGAAAGTTAAAAAAATGTTTATGAAAACTGAAAATATATTTGACATTTGTAATAAATATATGTGTGTGTGTGTGTGTGTGTATATATAGAGAGAGAGAGTAAGATTAAGTGAGTGAAAATAAGATAACTTTCATCATATGAAGAAAGTATAACAGAAAGAGAAAGATGCCTTTTTTAATCTTCATACACCCATTGCATACATGTGATGCTTATTTATAGGTATACAATTTGTGGGCAGCAAACAGCTTTCTATACAAGCTTACTGCCATTTTCCAATGTGCATTATTTTAATCATATGTGGACCCCACACAAAAACACACATATACGTAACACTCCCTCTTGGGATCCACAATACTACACTAAGAATATGCCTCGTTAAAACCTTACTAAGGAAAACTCAGTGGGACAAAACCCTAGCGAAGGAAAAAAAGTACAGTATTTTTATGTATCTAAAAATGATATTGTATAAATTAAAACTGCCTCATTAAAACCTTACCAGGAAAACCTAGTGGGACAAAACCTGGACGAAGAAAAAATAGTACAGCATGCCAATACCTCTTTGATCAATTGCTCCCCCTCATTAGTTCAACCCTGAAGATCCTTTAGTTGACGCATTCCAATGTTGTGCACCAGCTTCTTGAATGTTGTAGTTGGAAGCGTTTTAGTGAATAGATCTGCTAGATTTTCACACGAACGTATCTTCTGAATATCAATATCACCCTTTTTTCTGGCGTTCATGTGCATAAAAGAATTTTGGTGAGATGTGCTTGGTCCTGTCACTTTTAATATACCCTTCTTTCATCTATGCAATGCATGCCGCATTATCTTCATATAATATTGTTGGACTTTCTTTTATTGATGAGAGACCACTTGTTGTTCGAATATGTTGGATCATTGATCTCAACCAAATGCATTTCCTGCTTGCCTCATGAATTGCGAGTATCTCAGAATGATTTAAAAAAGTTACAATCATTGTCTGTTTCATAGATAGCCATGATATAGTAGTGCCGCCACAGGTAAACACATATTCTGTTTGTGAATAAGCTTTATGTGGGTCAGAGAGATAGCCGGCATCTGCATATCCAATTAATTGAGAATTTGGTGCTTTTGAATAAAACAACCCCATATCAGTTGTACCACGAAGATATCGCAATATGTGTTTGATTCCATTCCAATGTTTACAGGTTGGTACAGAACTGTACCTTGCTAATAAATTGACTAGAAAAATTATGTCAGGTCTTGTGCAATTTGTAAGATACAAAAGAGCACCAATCGTACTAAGATAGGGCACTTCAGGACCAAGGAGTTCTTCATCATCCTCTCGAGGACGAAAATGATCTTTCTTGATGTCAAGTGATCGGACAACCATTGAAGAGCTCAATGGATGTGCTTTATCCATATAGAAACATTTCAGAACCTTTTCTGTATATGTTGATTGATGGATGAGAATATCGTTTGAAAAATGTTCAATCTGCAGCCCGAGGCAAAATTTTGTCTTTCCGAGATCTTTCATTTTGAATTCTTTATTTAAATAAGTGGCCATCTTTTTGATCTCGTCCAATGTTCCCACTAGATTTAGATCATCAATATATACTGCAGCAATAACAAAACCAGATTCTGATTTGTTAATAAAAATGTATGGACAAATATGGTTGTTCACATACCCTTCTTTGAGTAAGTAATCGCTAAGGCGATTGTACCACATTCGTCCAGATTACTTCAATCCATATAAGGATCATTATAATTTTATCGAGTACATATTACGTGGTTTTGTTTCAGGCATTTTAAATCTTTCTGGGATTTTCATATAAATATCACTATCTAGTGATCCATATAAATATGCTGTAATCACGTCCATTAGATGCATATGCAATCTTTCAGTGACTGCCAAATGTATTATGAATCTAAATGTGGGTGCATCGATCACAGGGGAGTATGTTTTCTCATAATCAATACTAGGTCTCTGTGAGAAACCTTGAGCTACCAGTCGGACTTTGTATCTCACGATTTCATTTTTCTCATTACGCTTTCGTACAAATACCCATTTATACCCAACAGGATTAACACCCTTAGGTGTCTAGACTACAGATCTAAATACTTCACGTTTAGCTAATTAATTTAGCTCTGCTTGTATCGCTTCTTTCCATTTTGGCCAATCATTTCTTCGTTGACATTTTTCGACGTTTTGAGATTCCAGGTCCTCATTATCAATATCAAGAGTAACGACATAAGAGAATATGTTGTCAACAACAATTTCATTTTTACCATCTCGTTTCATAATTCAGTGAGATCTCATCATTTTCAGGTACCTTTGCCTCATCAAGGGTCATATCATCATCTGTTGCCTTTGCCTCATCAATATTTATTATTTCATCATTTTTAGGTACCTGAGACTCATCAAGAGCCTCTGCCTTATCAAAGGCTATTATTTCAGATTGATCAATAATATTTGTTGCTCCTTTTGTGGCCTCTTCAGGATTGCTAGCTTTTCTTTGCGATTTCCTCTTACGAGAAACAATATCTTTTACACCGATTGGTCTACCACGCTTCAGGCGTGTTTTAGATGCATTTGCTGCACTACTGACAGAAGGTCCCTCAGGGACAGCAATTCGTGCTACTTTCTTTGTATTAGTAAATGCATCAGACAATTGATTTGTAACATTTTGCAAGTGAATGATCCTCTGAACTTCTCTTTCACATTGATTTGTGCAAGGGTCAAAATGAGATAATTTCAGGGCATTCCAAGCAATATCACGTTGCTGTTGTGCCTTTTTTCCCCCTAATGGTGGGAAAACAGTTTCATCAAAATGACAGTCAACAAATCGTACTTTAAAGACATCACCTGTCAGGGGTTCAAGATAGCTAATAATAGATGGTGAATCAAAACCAACATAAATTTCAAGTCTACGTTGAGGACCCATTTTAGTGCGTTGGGGTGGTGCAATTGGAACATATACAGCACAACCAAAAACTCGTATGTGAGAGATATTTGGTTGTTGCCCAAAAACAAGTTGTAATGGTGA